AACCAGACCATCACGAATATCTTAAAGGTCGAAACTCGTCTTGCTTGCCTACAGGGTTGTGTTAGCGCTCATTGACACTGGCTCACCTGGGATAGTTATTGCTATAGGTGAGGCTTTTTTGCCAAGTCTCGGTCATAGTGGCACTATATTCATTAGGTGAATGTGACACTACAGGTGCTCTAGAGGTTGTTGCTGCTTATCTCATATAAGTAAATATTCCAGGAAACATTGCACATTTTAGTTTTCAATTGCATGAATTGAAACTAAATTTTGTGAGGGTCAGCACAGCATTTTTTTGTTTGGCCTGTGTTAGAGATCTTAAGTTTATTTCTCACTGTCCTCTGAAGAATAAATCAGTGCGGGTATACTGCATGTGTTTTAGTTCAAAGCGTAATTCAGAGCTTATGAAACTCAGCACATCATTTCAGTCATTGGGATGAAGTAATCAGTGCTGGTTTGCTGTTTTATTGTGAAATAATTTTCGGTTTGTGTGTGCGCAGGTTCACCTAGCTAATGGTTCGATGCCTTCAAGGGCCGCCTAGAGTCGGCTGATGAAAGTTCCAAGGACTTCTATTTGGTCAAGTGGTCTACCAACTCAATTAGGTGGACAGAGGCCGGTACGGCACGCATAGGAGCTTCACGGAATCTAAGGGAATTGGATTGCGGCAGAAGGCGGCCAGAAGCCTGCACAGCAGCAATCGACCCCACAAGAAGAAGCATAGAGAGGGTAGTGAAGAAGCTTGCTGATTTCAGTGGAGTGTATGTTTTGTCATGCATGCGTTTTATAAGCTGTTTCCAGTTTTGTGACTACAGTGACCTGTTTATGAGCACAGCTGCAAGTTATATTTTCAGCCAAGGAATTTCCAGCCATCGGCACACTTAACTTGAATGCTTCGATGCAGTTCCTTAATTTGCTTTGACTGATGCCAGTGCTGCTAAGTGTTGGGCTCTACATGTTTGCCTCACCTTATAGTATAGATGGAGCAAGGGTTGTTTTGAATAGTGAATTTTCGTTTCACGTCTGCCTAACCGGTGCTTTGAATTCACTCACTTGGCATGTCCACTTTTGCCACGTTTTGCTCATGGCTACGTTCCACGCACCGCCATAAAATTCGTTGATATATGCTTGTCTCTGCAATGAACCATTGTGTGCGACAGCTAACACATCATTCGTTTTCGAAATTGCCATTGCTGCTTGAACAAAGTATTATATGCTGAGATAGGCTGAGATAGGCGTTTGTTGCTGAGATAGGCGTTTGTAACAAATTTCATGGGCTTTTGTAAAAATATCCACATGCAAAATGTGGCAAAAATGGACCTGCCAAGTGTGTTTTCTAGCCGCCAGTTAGGCAGAGGTGAACTGAAAATTCTACTGGAAAAATCTACCCGCGCTTCCACTATTATTTGTTGCAGTAAATAAACCATGTCCAACACTTGGCAGCGTTAGCATCAGTCGAAGCAGGTCCCATGTGGTGGAGTAAAGCTGATGCTGTACAGTCGTCAACACCTTTAACTTGAATGCTCCGACGCGTGGCCTCTGCTCGGTTGGAGTGAGGTCAGTGCCACCAAGCGTTGAAAATGATATGCTTGCTGTAGTTACAGATAGATGTAGCCGCATCGGTTTCACTAGTAAATTTCTGGTTCCAGACTGCCTCACCAGCGGGCCGAATGTATTCACTTCGCTTAACTTCGCCTTCCGTTTTCGCCACGTTTTGCTCGTGACTACGCTATCGCCTGCACCCATGGACACCAATGGCATTCGTTTTCTCATTCCTTTCACGACAAAAAACCACTGCGTGGGATAGCTTACGCACCTTTCGTGTTTTAATTGGCAGCTGCTGGTCAAAAGTAATCACACATATAAAAAGTAGAGCAAACGCACGCTCAAGGCGTTTGTAAAAGTGTCACAATAAATCTGAAATGGAGTAGTACTGTTGATGTTCTGATTCAGTAATTTTCAGACAGCATGAATCGAACTGCTCTCGCAATTTAGAGCGTGCCTTTTTGCTCGGTTTGCGCTGCACGGAAGATGTGGCCTTGGGCACAACGTTTGAGTGGGCAACACTACCTGGGCTTTAGCGTGCCTACTACGATTTATTTAGGATGGCAGTTTAGGCTTTTATGCGATAACTACGCACAAAGTCGCTTTGTTTGCGTTGTACGCATGCGCCTTTCTTGCTGAAAACACGCACAAACATTGCACTCCATACGACATCTTCCGTGCAGCATGAACCGAACAGAAAGGATGCGGGATGCGAAGTGAGTGCACTCGACCCGTCGGTCGGGCAAACTGGAAACAGAAATTTACTAGTGAAAACAACGTGCGCTAAATCTGTTGTTAACTGCAGCAAGTATACCATGTTGAACGCTTGGTGGCGGTGATATCTGTTCAAGCGAGCCGATGCCACGCATCAGAGCGTTCAGGTTAAAGCTGCTGACGACTGTACAGGTCTGATGGGGGAAATGCGCAAAGGCATCTCTACTTTGTTTTGTCAATAATTGCATACAGAAATAACTTGGTATTGTTAAACATAGTTGGCATCTACCTGCTACTCGTTCTTCATTGTCTGTAGTGGTCTGCGGAAGGAAAGAATCCATGATTGTACTGACATTCCAGCCATTACTGTCTCAAGATGTGTGAGTGTTCCCTTAGGCACGGTTTGTTTGAACGATAGTCCTACTTTTAAAAAAGAGTTCCTCAGTTGGTTAGGCTGTATGAAAAGCATATAAACTTCTTTACAAATGCATATCTGCTGCTAGTGCTTCCTTAGAGAGCTGATAATCAACTGCTGTAGTTCAGCGATAGGCATTTCTAAATGAACAGAAATGAATTTGTGTTCTTTAATTTTTTAGAGCTGCGCAAATCGCAAAAACTTGTGTGCGAAACGAATTCCAATAATGAAGTGTGAGTGTGAATCAAATATTTTTGAACATTTGTTGAATATTTTTAATACTTCGAAGTGAAGAATAGCTGCAAAAGATTCCCAAGCACATTATTATGTAATAGAAATGTGACATTGTCTTTTTGGCTAGGTTGGTGAAGATCTGGAGGGAAGGTGCTCCCTTGTTTTGTCAAAGATGAGGTATTGCAGACCAGATTGTATTTATGTATCATATTTGGTGCGACCGATTCGGTGTCGACAGGAGTTTACATGTAAAAAGGTACTCCTCCACTCCCCACCCCCCTTCAATGAACTTCTGTGGAGGCCCTTCTTCTTTGGTAGACAAGGGCGCGCTCCTTTCGAATGTTGAGTTGGTGATCTGCCGTGCAGATGTCTGTGTATAAAAACACCTGAAATTTCATATAGTGAGAAGGTTTGTACATTTTTTTCGGACCTTCGGGTTTGAAACAATATAGTAAGCCCCTGCCATGCAGGTCTGAACCAGCGCTTTCGTGGGTCAATCTGATTATGGCCGTAGCGTAGTCCATGAAGCGATGAAGCATATGATTAAAGATGAAAGGGTGACTGTAACGGCACAGTGCATCCCTACGTTAGAACCAGCATTTTCTCGAATCAAGGCATTTGCTACCATAGCTTGGAAGGCAGCTTTGCCGAAAAGTGATGTTGTATTGAGGCAAAGCAATTAAAAAAATCTGAAGGGGCCGCATTCAATTGAGCATTGACTGTTCTCTTTGGGAAGTTGCAAAATAGTGAAGCTTTCAGTGAAAAATAATTGTCTAGCAAGTGTTATACGAAAAATGTTTGAAAGTTTGTATATTTGCACACTGTTATTTTTTCTGAGAGTAACAGCAAAAATCTGCAACAAACATATTTACCTCACTTTATCTAATTCGGCAATGTTATAATGAAATGTTCGTCTTTTCCATACCCTGCAGTGCTGCCTGAAGCCTTGTGGAAAAGGAAGCAACGCAGGCCAACTCAAAAATCAAACTGAGACGTAAAAAGGGAAAAAATAAGCAGAGAAGTCATTTTCAGTCCTACACTACTGTGCAAGCCTGCAGTTTTTGCCCATGCGCCCGTAAAAGTGCATGTTTATATCCGCAACGCATGTAATTACGTAAAGAGAAGGAATACACGAGAACCCGTCATGTAAAAACACAACAGCCCGGTTCTTACCGAACCACACCAGTTCGGGTTTTCTCAAAACACACCATCCCGGGTCTTGCCAAAACACACTAGTCTGTCACACCAGAAAACGACCGTATACACCAGACCGGCCGTATACGCCAGAAACCGTGTCTGAATTCCCGCTCTGATGTGAACGGGAAAAACACACCATACATGGCCTGATGGATTTTTCGACTGGGGATTCTTTTGGCGGAGAAATCTGCCATACTTTATTCTGTTTTATTTGTACTTTGGGCTGCAGGTTGAAGTACGAGTTACCTATAATGACTAGTATTTCAAAATCCATGATTATCCTGCACTCGTGGGGGGGACAATAATGAAGGCCAATCATTAATACCATAATTTACCTGCGCAGGCAGAGTAACAAAAATTGCAAACAATTTTGTAAGTTACTAGCGGGAGCCTTAGTTTTAAACCTACTTTTCTACAATTGCTGGTGGGTGTCAGAACTTGCCAGTTCAATTTTCGCGAACACGGAGGTGGTGCTATTTGGACGAGTTCTGGACTTGTTTGTGTGTAGCATGGCGCCAGACTAAAAAGCTTGTGCAGCGTTTCCTTCATATCTACAGCACTCTGTTCAAAGATTAGGAAATAAAAGGCTAAAATGGGTGTTCGCTATAATAAGAAGATAATCTAGCGCAACAATGTCGACTGCAATTATTTTTTATACAGCATCAGTTTACAGGTTCACATTTTTGTGATGTGAACTAGTGATGTGAAAAAAAAATTATGAAAATTGGTGAAAGTGCAAATAATGTATGTTACGTACAACCAGTTGTACCATATTAGCATACCGCATGCCATAAAATAATGTTACTTTGGATTAGTAAACTGTGTTTTAGTGTAAATTTCATTTACTGTAATTGCCATAATAGTGATGGTTCGCTATGTTTTTCTTATATTTTTCAGACACCAGGAGAGTACTGGGACACGTATGTGTTTTGATTACATTTATTGACTTGACTGTACTTAGCAATGATGTTTATCAAACTATATTTTAAGTTATTCTAAATTTGTAGCAGTCAGATGACCGTGTTCGAAAAGAACTTTTAGATGCCAAGTATTGCTTTGTGAACTACAAGCATTTTTAAATGTCCTGCATCCACGACTATAAGAAGCAGCAGTCTAGTTTAGGCTCACATGTATTTCTTTAAGTTCTCCTCTTTCTATCTTTTCCTCCCTCAATCCCCTTCCTCCAGTGTAGAGTAGCACACCGGCCACTCATCTGGTTGACCTTCCTGCTTTTCCTTTCTCTAACACCTTCCCACATACCTATCAATCAATCAATCAATCAATCTATCTATCCATCTATCTATCCTCCAATGTCTGGGTACTCTAGCGTTTGTCTGCCTCATTGAGGACAGGCCAGAATTAGCATGGAAGAGTGAGAGGGTTTGACAATAAAGTCTTGCTGGTCATTGCGTGAAAGAAGTCATGGTTTTACAAAAAACACTTAAGCAATGAGTGTGATAGCAACATATTTGAATGTTTTACGAAGCAAGGGTAGTATTCTTAGGAGCAAGGAGCAACATTAATTGTAGTAAACGTGCGCTTGATAAGTAATCAAGTTTCCTGCAGCGTGGCCACAGTAGATGATCACAAGGCTCGTGCGTGGTGACGGCATTGATGAGACGCACCTACCATGGGCAGCGCATGCTGATACTTAGGACTATTTATCGTGTGTTGCCGCTGGTGGAAGTTTATGTGTACAGCGCATCCATATGTGAACGGCCGCTCCAGGTACACTTTTGGCACCGTGTGTGTGTGTGTGTGTGTGTGTGTGTGTGTGTGTGTGTGTGTGTGTGTGTGTGTGTGTGTGTGTGTGTGTGTGTGTGTGTGTGTGTGTGTGTGTGTGTGTGTGTGTGTGTGCGTGTGTGTGTGTGTGTGTGTGTGTGTGTGTGTGTGTGTGTGTGTGTGTGTGTGTTAAGAGCGTAACACGTAGAAGCTCATGCCTGCTGTGGTGACAAGAGCCGCGCGCTGATCGTTGCCGCGATACTGCGGCAACCATAAGCGCCCCCCCCTTGTTAGCTAACAAGTTAAACGCACGCGCAGACAACCCCTGCTAGGAAGGCGATGTTCCTTCACTCCACAGAACCACATAAAGAGGAGGTTTGCGCATCCTCCGCCGTATATATATATATATACACACACGCACACACACACACACACACACACACACATATATATATATATATATATATATATATATTATATATATATATATATTACGCACAAGGAGGACCAGGACGTATACGGCTGAAGGGGGCCGTTTATTTTGGTCGCGAAGAGAAGCGGCGCCGGAGCGGCCAACAGGTTGATGATCGCAGCGCTTCTTCCTCCAGCTTGGGACAGCCAGCATGTTCAGCCATCTTTGTTTTCTTCCCAGGCATGCGTAACATTCCTCCCCTCGCAGACGAAGCCCGCCGGGCGAGGTAACTGATTCACCTTGGTGTGTACAACTTCAATCGAGCGACATGGACTGCTTGGGTTTTAGCGGCTCTTCTACCACTTCTTGTGAGGCGAGCTATTGTGTATGTAACTTCCGTGATTTTGTCGAGAACGACAAACGGTCCGTCGTATGTGGCCAAGAACTTTTGGCATAACCAGCGTCTTCGTACCGGAGTCCACAGCCACACTAAGTCGCCTGGATGGTAAGTTACAGGCCGGTGGTGGACGTCATAGCGTACTTTCGATTTTTCCTGTGATGCCAAAGTGCGTAGACGAGCAATACGACGCGCCTCTTCTGCAAGGCAGAGGGTTTCGGTGACTGAGAGGTTCTCGTGCACCGAGAATGGCAAAACTGTGTCAAGTGTGTGCCGTGGCAGTCGTCGCTGGCAGTTGCGGTGGGTATGGCCGCCTTCTCGCAGTAGCGCGTGAGGTAATCGGCACATACAATTATCGAGCGATTGCCCTTAGCCGACTTTGGAAAAGGGCCCACGAGGTCAATGCCCACCTGTTGGAAAGGTGTGCTTGGAGGTGGCAAGGGCTGTAGAAGACCAGCCGGAGCAGTAGATGGGCGTTTGTGGCGTTGACACTGTGTGCAGCTGGCCACATACGCCTCGACTGACTGTCATATTCCTGGCCAATAAAAGCGTTCCTTAGCATGGTAAAGCGTCCGCGCAGAACCTAAATGTCCGGACGTAGGATCGTCGTGCATAGCACCTAAAATTGCTGTCCGAAGGCTTTCTGGCACTACCAGGAGGAAACGTGCGCCAGTGCTGGAAAAGTTCTTATATAGGAGTCCGTTGCGTACACAGAAATGGCATGCCGTAGGAGCTGTGCAAAGCGATGATAGCCTGGTGTCCTTTCGCTGTTCATCTTTGAAAGTACTGAGGTGGGGAAACTTTGGTGACACAGAAGTTACGAGGTAATCGAGGTCATCGGCGTCACACTCTGTAGTGCTCAGTGGCATGCGCGAAAGGCAATCTGCGTCGGCGTGTCGTCGATCACTTTTGTACGAGACTATGAAGTTATGCTCTTGGAGCCGAAGTGCCTAGCGCGCTAGACGGCCGCAAGGATCCCAAAGGTTGACGAGCCAACACAATGAGTGGTGGTCGGTGACGACTGTAAAAGGGCGTCCATATAGGTAAGACCGAAACCGCTGAATCGCAAATACTACCGCGAGGCATTTTTGTTCTGTGACAGTGTAATTCTGCTCGGGCTTTCTCAAGGAGCGACTTGCGTATGCAATCACGTGCTCGCGGTTACCATAGCGTTGAACTAGGACGGCACAAATTCCTATGCCGCTGGCATCTGTGTGCAGTTCGGTTGGAGCTGATGGGTTGAAGTGTTGAAAAACAGGCCGCGACGTCAGGAGGAACTTCAGTTGACGAAAAGAAGAGTCGCACTCCGGAGTCCACTCGAAGGGAGTATTCTTCCGTAGCAAACATGTCAGCGGAAACGCGACATCGGCAAATTTAGGTATAAAGTGGCGAAAATAGGAGCAAAGTCCCAAAAAACTGCGGAGCTCCTTCACAGAGCGTGGCACATTGAACGTTTCAACGGCTGCTGTCTTCTGGGGATCTGGACGGATGCCCTCCTGATCACTAGGTGTCCGAGAACGAGGGTTCGTCAGTCTCTGAAGTGGCATTTATTTGAGTTAAGAACAAGGCCAGCGTTTCTTATGCAAGTCAGTACAGTATCCAGACGTGAATTGTGTTCGCTGAAGGTGCGGCCAAAGATGACGACGTCGTCGAGATAGCACATGCAAATGCTCCACTTCAAGCCAGGAAGAACAGTGTCCATAAATCGATCGAACGTCGTCGGCGCGTTGCACAGCCCAAGTGGCATCACGTTGAATTCGAAAAGGCCGTCAGGGGTTACAAAGGCTGTCTTTTCTTTATCTTCAGGATGCATGGGAATTTGCCAGTAGCCTGATCTTAAGTCTACAGAGGAAAAGTAAGAGGCCGAATGCAGACAGTCTATGGCATCATCAATACGTGGAAGTGGGTACACGTCTTTTTTTGTTACAGCATTCAATCGGCGAGAATCGACGCAAAATCTCCAGGATCCGTCTTTCTTTTTAACGAGAAATACTGGAGCTGCCCGTGGACTTACTGACTCTTGAATGATACCGTTTTCAAGCATTTCGTTCACCTGCTTATTAATAATCTGCCGCTCGGATGGCGAAACACGGTATGGCTTTTGTCTAATCGGATTGGCCAAACCCGTGTTGATAGTGTGACATGTCCGAGAAGCAGGGACTAGGGGCGCTTTGTCTTTTTGCGCAAAGTCGAATGCAGAGACGTGCTTCGAAAGTACATTGACCAATGTTCGGCGTTCACTTGTGCTCAGCGGCTTATTCACCATTGACAGAAGAGCCGTTTCAAAACTGTGACTACGATGCTCTTCCAGCGCATCTCAAAGCTCGGTCATCAGTAAAGCCTCGTGTTGTCCACTGACTACGGCTAACTTTAGACCATCTGGTGACATCATGGGTTCTGTAGAGCAATTGACAGTCCGTAAACCAGCACGTCCACATCTGATCGACACCACACAATCTGAGATCAACACATTCTTTTTCGTGCAGTTGGTGTACACTGGTTCTACGTTGGCATCAAAGTTGTCGGAATAGCTGTCGCTGCAACCAACAGGTACACGAATGGTTGATAACGGTTGTAAGATAGTTTCACCACAGACACACAATGCCGTCTCACCATCCACAGGGTTTTCGAAGAGTGCTGGCGGAACGTGATCACTCAAGACTATTGTCCCTGTGCGGCAGTCGACAGTCGCACCACACTCTCTCAAACAGCCTATACCCAAAATAACATCATGTGTCGCCTGCGGAATAATAAAGAACTCCGTTGGGATAACGCGGCCTCCGAGAAACACGTCAGCTTGACCCACACCAACAGGATGCAGTGCCTCACCACTCACTCCGCAAAACTTCGAAGCTTGATTCCACTTAAATAAAACCTTCCGCCCCAAGGTATCTTTAAAACACTCACTCATGACCGAAATGGTTGCCCCCGTATCCACCAAAGCCATCAAAGGCACATCGTCAACAAAAACACGTACTTTGTTCGTGAGCATCAACCCAGGAGGTATTTCTGATATTAGCACGTCTGCGGCGACCTCACCTCTATCGGTCGTGCTTGCTAGTTTTCCTGTGGCAAAGGAGACGTGTTGCGACGCCGTGGTGAAGGATAACGGGGAGCACAAGGCGGTGGAGGCGTAAAGCTCCTGTCAGACGTAGGGAAGTGGTTCCGGAAGCTGCGTGTCCAGTAGTCGTCGCGAGGCAGCAGGTGTGTTGCCTTAGGGTCGTCGTACGGTCGATCAGACGATCGTGTGAAGTGTTGTGGTGGGCCATAGTACGTTGCTCGCGGGTCATCGCGAAGTTGTTCGGAAGGCCGTGCAAAGTGTGGTGGGTAGCCATACCGTGGGGCTACACGTCGACGGTTGCAAAATCACGAAATATGTCCTAGGACAC